ATCTAATTTATTTTATTTTATTTTCCTATGTTGTTTTGCTACTTCCTCTTATTTACTTATGTTATTATCTATATCCTGTATCCCTAAGCAAAGTGAACAGTTCATGTCTTAAATACTTATCTTGCAGAACTCTTCAGGGTGAGGAGGAAGCTGCAAGGAAGAAGATAGTGGTGGGGACAGCAGTAGGATGGCCCCAAACACATGACTAAGCAGCTGATAGGGATTATGAAATAAAGACAATTATTGTTCCTTGCTGATAGGCAAAAGTTTGCTTTGATGATCTTATTCTTTAGTGTTTGAGTTGAAAAAGGTACTGAATTATTTGAAACTACCAAAATAACCCACTTAAAGGAAATGTCACGCATAGTCAAGACTGTGCTTACATGGCTTTATGTAAAGCAAAGATATTAAGGAGAACTAGGAGTAAGTCGAATGTGTTCTGGAAGGGCTGTCATGACAAGTTAAACCAGCAGCAAAATTGCTAAGTAAAAAACTAAGGATGAGTGGGGGCACACTCGAAGGTTCCCAGTCTCTGCTGAAATTTAAAGCCAGAGTCCTTTCTTGTGGATTAACTCTTCAGAATGATGTAGTAACAGCTGAAAACATAACTTGAAATTTCCAATTTTGCACATATAATTTAGATCATGATTTGTTTGAAATTTTTTTTAGTGATTTGGATAATTCTGTCAGCTTTTAATTTTGATTTCTATTAGAAACGTGGAAGTTGTCAGGTATGTTTAGAAACCAAAGCATAAATGTAGTTTCAGGTGTCATAGGCCCTAGATCAGGAGAAGAAAAAACCATTTTCGTACATCAAGTGAGTGCTTCATGAGATATAGAGTTGAGTAAGAGTTATGAAAAGGTTTTGGTGTTATCTTTGAGAATTCGGCTTCTGGATAAGGCTCTTTATGGGCAGGTTACCTTTAGGAAATGTGGAACTGCTCTACGTTTAGCTTTTAATTTTGGTACTTTTGTTGGAATAGGAGAGTGTGATCTTCAGCAGACCCTTTTCTTTGTCATTATTATACATCTATCTTCCTTTTCTTTCTTTTCTTTCTTTCTCTCTCTCTCTCTCTCTCTCTCTCTCTTTCTCTCTCTCTCTCTCTCTCTCTTTCTTTCTTTTTAAGCCTTGATTGCTTTGGAGAATTTTTATATTTCTTAGTTTTACTTTAAAATTAAGACATTTGTATAGTATTTAAAAGGATCCTCCCCCTCTTTATAATGACATTGATGCTTCTCTGAGGAATAAATATATACAGTACCTATTTTGAAGTTAAAACTAACCAAAGGTAGGGATATATATCTGTTACTAATGAATGGAATAGTTGAAATACCTGATTTTTTTTTCCTGATCAAATTATATACATCATAATTGAAAGAAATATACTTAGACTTAAAAGAATCAAAATGAGTTTGCAAAATCTGGTTTAATTCAGATCTGGGGAAAGGAAGGGAGCAACATGTTGTGAAAATACATATGCACAGGGACCTAATCAATGCTAGACAAACAATGTATTAGTTTACAATATAATAGAATAACCACAAATTTGAAGGCTCAAACTGAGTCCATCAGCGGTAAAGACAATTTCCTATTTGGCTCAAGTGGCTGTTGAATTATCAAGTGGTGCTGAGTTCCTCCAAAGCACCTAATGACTCCCCCCAGACTTGGGAGGAGTTTCACCACAGTCTCAGAAGAAATCCCAGTCGTGCCTGTAATGCTTTTGGCCCTTGGGAGTCATTGCTGCCCAATACAAATGCAGGCCAGGGATTTCCAGTGGCCACGTGTTATTGCACAGAGAGGCCTGTTCTAAGCCAGACTCTTATGGCTAAGAAGGTGTGAGATCAGCCCTTAAATAGTGGTCTAGCATTAACATGGTCTATCAAAGCATGTTAAGAAATAGCTCCTTAGTGATTATGTACCAGCTACTAGTTATCACACTAACAGAAAAGGCAAAAGGGCAGCTTCACATTTCACATGAAAGACTAGCATTAACTGGGCCTGCGTGACAGCTTAACGTTCACATAAATCTAGTGATTATTTTAATTTAGACCCAGAAAAAATGATTTCATACCAGTCTTTTCTTCACATAAGTTTGTGTAGCATTAAAATCATTATGGGTTAAATACTAGGCCATAAAGGCAAAACTGTTTAACTCTCCTTTGCCAAAACAGAAACAATTCCTGTTCTGACGCCTGTCCAGTTTCCAAAAAACAAAACATACATACACCTTTGTTATTGCACATCTTTCACACAGACTTGTGTATGTATAATACATATATATTTTAAATACGCTACACATTTAAAAAAAAAAAAGACTATGGCACTTTACAGAATACATGTTTTAACAAAGATCATTTCACCACAGATGTTTGAGAACTATACAAAAACCCTTACACAATGTAACATTGTTGAATTAGCACACAGGTTTAAAGAATCCACAGAATCCAAAGCAAGTATTTCTGCCTTTTTGGAGTTCATTGAGAAGCCCAGCCATCACAAAACTTTAAGCACAAATGCAGGCAAAAATAAATAAGACTTTTCTGGTAGTTGTAATGGGTGCAGGTGTATTAGATTTTTAGACTGAGGCAATTAGATGATAGAAATTAGAAAAATAGGTGTGGGTCAACAGTCTAATTATTTTGTACACATTTATTTCAACATATTCCTCATATTCAGTGTTTTTTGTGTGTGTGTTTTCTTTTTAACCAGCTATGCAGTTTTGGTCTATATTTGCATGATTTTGAATGTTCCATTCATCCCAACCAAAGCTTGGCTAACAAACTGAAGGTTTAAAAGGCCCAACATTACCGCTTACTAGGTCAGTGTTTGAGTAGTTTCAGTGGTTTGGGTTTTTGTGTGTGCGTATGCTTTTTGTCTTCTGTAGCATTGAGACTGAAGTAGATACTGTCAAGTGACTTTTATTGTCAAGGTGATCTAGGGATACACTGCCACCTTAACCAAGGAGTAGTCGGGCACTAGGGATGAGGGATCCTCTGGGCTATGACAACTTGTCTGTAAAGTGAGAATGTAAAATTCATGTTAGAAAATGGGTTCTCTATCTTATACAGAAAAAAGAGTGAATCTTCTGATGATACATTTAAGAAAAAATGGTGTTTTATCAGAGTATTTGCCCGATGAAGTGAATTACTTTTTTAAAATGAAAATTTTTGCCAGAGTTTGCTGGCATCATGGCTTGGTTAGAGCATATAAACACTCCATCAGGTACAGGAGCCAAATCCAGTGGCTGCCATAATCTATTTCTGTGTGGTCTCAGAGATAGGTTATGCTTCCTGAACCATCCTCTAAGCTGTTATGAGGCTATGGATGTACTCCTCTTGTTAAGAAAAGTCATAGGATTTACATTTTGCTTATTCTGAACCTTGGACTAAGAGGAGTGAACTCATTAAGGCCTGGTTCCATACCCTTCCTTCTCCCGTCCCTAACTCTTAATCTATATGAAAAGATGGTTTCTAGTATAGGCCAAAGACCAGAATAGAATAAGACTTTAGTTGTTCCATTCCATTGTCACATAAAGGAATTAGTTTTTCTGCACTAGACATGGTTATAAAATCAGAGTTCTATGTCTGGTGGCACTTGAACATAATACCTTGCCCAAACAAGGCATGTAATTGTTAAATTTTCAAAATGAAGCAAGCCCGCAAGTGAGCAGATTCATAACCCAAAGAGACCAAATCCTTCCAGAAATCTGGCATCCCACTTGCTTAAGTTGCTAAAGAACGTTTCTGTATCATTCTTCAATTCTGATCTTAGGATAATATCTTTCTGATTTTCCTGAATCAATGATATTGGATATTGGTAATTTATAGAAACTAGATTAAAAGCACCCAAAACTTTTTTAATAGTGGTAATTTATTCTTTTTGTAAACAGGTATAGGCAGGTGCTATAACTCTCATTTTGCATTAACTTTCTACTCTGTTATCCTGGGAATGAAGCCTTTGGTGCAGCTCAGCATTTGCAACAATTTAATGTTATTTTAGCCTGCTTTCAGGATCACCAATAACTAAAAAACCTTAAATCCCATGATTAGCTTTTTTTTTAATGCAAAGAATGGCATTTTGCTGCTGTTAGGGTTGGAAATATAGCTGACTTCAGCATGGTTACCAAACAGTGGGAAAAGGTCTCCTCGTAAGTGCTGAGGTTCTGGCAGTTTCTCCCAGTGAACATCTGAATGCACCACATCTGGTTTGGAGACCTCTGTCCTGGAATGAGGAAACAGTGAGGTTTCCTTTGGCAATCAGTGCAATCCCAAGCCTAGGAGAAAAACATGTGATCTCTGGTGGAAGAGGAGGCTGGGCCAGTACTGGCATTAGCTTGGCTGCTGGGAAGCGGAATGAACTTGTCTCCACTAGCAGGATTTTGTATTTTTATTCTCATGATCTTACAGGCCCTTATTCTTTCTTTAATCTTGAAGTGCCAGTTCAATTGATTTAGCTGACCCTGGAATTCAGCTTCCAATACATTCCACAACAGAATCCCAGTCCCTGCTTGGCCCCTGTGGTGGGCTAAGAAAGAGTTTGTGTCTTGCTCTGATCTCTTTTAGCAGACGGACATCCCACTTCCAGTAAGTGTGTAGTCTTCAACTGAGACACTTGATGAAAGTACCAGGAGGAAACAAAAATCCCACACCTCTAAACTGCCAGCAAATCTGGCTAACAGTCTCTTCAGTTACCAGAGAAATGCTGCTTTCATGGTTGAGATCATTCTCCTTCACTGGACCTTGTGGGCGATGCTGTCTGACACGTGTCAGCGTTTATGTTTTCATCTTCCGTCTCTTACAATTTGCACTATGGCCCTCGTGTGCAGTCACTTTGCTTGGCTGGATGTTGCCTCTCATTGGTTCTGTAAAGGCTCAGGGCTGTGGAATGTGGCTTTGGTAGGTAAAGGCTAGTTCTTCACTTGATTCGGATGATGAAACCAGAGGTGAACTGTTTCACAAGGTTAAACAAGGAAGAAAATGGTATAAATGTCTCTTCCAAATTAAAGGAGGCAGATGAGGTTTTTCCCCTCTTCAATCTCTTCCTGTACTTTGTCACTAGAGGTTGCAATTTCTGCTTGTGCAGAGAAGATGGCACAGACGAAGGTGAGGACCATCCCACCGATGGCAGTATAAAAGGCCCAGCCCAGGGAGCAGTCTCCAGGTTTATAGGCCGATGCATAGTGTCCACAGTAGGCAACGGCCTTCTGGCAGCCCCAGCCAGCAGGATAGAGTATCAAGCCGAGGATAAGGAACAGGCCTGCAGGGCAGAAAAGAAAAGAGGTGACAACCCCGTGGCTCCAAGATTTGTTGTCATTGTTACTTGATTTACCTGCTTTGGGCTATGGCATCCTTTCTGCAATAGCAAGTGTTAGCGACTGTTTTATACAACTGATCTGGCCTGATCAAGAACCATTATCACTTTATCGGAAATATTTTTAGCCTCTTCTGTACATGGTGGAATGTACACTAATCATTTCCCTTTTAGGAAAGGAAATGAACTTGTTTCTTCTCACAGGGCTCTTACTGTGGTGAGCATTTCCCTTGGTCTAAGGCAGAAATAGGCAAACTAAGGCCAAGTAACTGTGGCCTTGTTTTTGTAAACAAAGTTTTATTGGAACACAGCTCTGCCCATTCATTTGTGGATTGCCTAGGGCTGCTTTTGTGCTGGAACAGCAGAGTGAGTAGTTGCTACAGACCCTATGGTCTGCCAAATTGAAAATATTTAATAAGATTATAAAGATCTGATGTTTAAATACAAAGGAGTTCTCGTAAACGAGTCTTGGCTCAATTTTCTTTTCCTACCTTTACTGAAATTCTCTGGGTTTACTGTATCAAAGCTTCCAAGTTACTTAAAGCAACTTCCCCACAGAAAGATAATGGCTGAATCTGTGGTAGTATTAGGTGCGAAGGAAGATGAAAGACAGAGTTTAAAACCACAGGTCACAACTTTCATAGAGCTGTCTTCATCCTGTGATAGTATCTTCTCAGCAAACCTGGCAGTTCACTACTTTCCAAATTAATCCCAATGTTCTAGTCTGAAGGCCCCAGGGAACTTTCCAGCAAGGATTCAATAGAGGGAATCTGCTCCCATGCTCATTTTCTGCAGAAGGGTGCTTCACAAAAGCTTTGTAACCCTGCAACCTCCTATTTCTCTCTAGGTCAGAGTGCTGGGAGGCAGCGATATGTAGCTAAGGAAATGCCATTCCAGTGTTGGGGAGCATAAATGAAAGGTGTAGCAGATTGAGGCACCTAGAGATGATGCTATTAGAAGTGACTAAGAGCATAGAGGATAAGGCAGGCAGGGGAAAGTGTATTGATACCCTAAAATATGCAAGGTCTTGAATCAGCAGTCTTGGTCTGAGTGTCTGGGGTCAATTCCAAGGCTAAAATAGAAATCACATAGCAAAAAAACCTTTATGGTCTAGTGTGAGCTAGAACACAAATCAGCAAGAAAATGACCACAGCAAAGACTCACTAAATTGAGAGATGATCAGTTAGTAGTTAAGAGCTCAAAATTGGGATTAAGATAGAGGTTTGAATTCAGCTCTGACATTTATAAACTGGGTGACCTTAGAAAATCTTAACCTAAATATGATTCCTCACCTGTAACATGAGCTAATGTTTAATTCATAAGGTGGTTGTGAGTATTGAAGTATATACAGAGTACTTTCTATATCCATAACAATAACAGCAATAACAACAGAACTGAAACATAGACTAGTACCTGACAATAGGGTATAGTTTTTGTCTTCAGACCCCTCCCATACTCAGCACAGTTTATTTTTGAGGTTATATTTTGAAAGGTGTTATGATTTGGGGAGAGAGGAGAACCCAGGTTACAATTTACTTCCCTTGAAAGACAAAACCATCCTCATCCGAACAGATCTTACTTAGCTGGGAGATCCAAAAATTACTGAGCTAATTTTTTTTATGTTCCCAAAGCCTGTGATAAGTCCTAATTCACCCCCACCTTGTTCCCTAGGAAACATCACCAAGCGAGGTACCTGGAACCTTGTACTTTCTCCCTCAGGTCCTGAGTTACCACCCTGGGACTTAGGTTCAGAGATGCTCTCTGGCATGCAGGCCCCGGGCAAGAAAGCATGAACTGCTCTGCCTTATAAAGACCAGAGTATTCGTATTTTAATTGGGGCTCTAATTAAATATTAGTTACACATTTTGTTTGTATTACGTGGCTTAAACAAGTCCAGTAAGCAAAATAAATGCATTTTAATATGATAAGGACAGAAAGCACGGATTTTGTTTTCACATAGCAGCTCTGCTATCCTGTGCCAGACTCACAAAATATTTTAATTTGGTTGTCTCAGATGCTTCAGGGAAGTAGGCAGGCTTAAAATAACGAGTACAGCCAGGAACATCCACTCTAGTTCTTCCTAGCTCTCTTAGGTGCTTCCTTTTATGATAGCTCAGCTAAAGTTCCCAAAATTCTTCAAGCCATCTGAAAATCTAGTTGGCTGCTACTGGCCAAATGTGAATGACAATAGGGAGACATCATATAAGCGTGCCATGCTTATGAGTTAGGCAAAAGCCTCAGCTTGAATATATATAAGCCCACAGGGCATTCCACACGGGAGGGTAATAAATAGTGGACTGTGGTATGTCTCTATTAGTGGCTGTGATGTGTGCTGAAACCTCACGCTCTCAACCTGGGCAGCCAGCCTAGACAAACACAGTGCTTTATCCAAATTCTCCACGGAGCAGAGAAGTTGCCGCTGTCTACCCTATCCCGGTTGCTGACCTCTGCTCCCTGCATTCATCAGAGTTGTCATTAACATGGTCCCCATGTCTGGTAAGGGAAAGAAAAGAGGGCCTACAGGTAATCAAAAAAATGAAAGTCACCTCTATCATCAATCTGGGTATTTAGAAGAGGCCCTTCTAGTAAAGAAATTCCAGACAGTTTAGTGCCTCCGGTGGACCTTTCAGGTGACTGCCACACTTTGGCCTCACCTCACAGGTCCTGACTCTCCTCTGCTCTTGGAGCCCAGCACAGCTTCTGAGCAGCTGTTCTGGTCCTAACAGGCATCCCTTAGTGAAGCACAAACATCACCTGAGCATAATCTTTTGTGAACTAGTAAAATTACAGAGAAAAGGCCCCTTAAGGTTTCTCATTTCTCAGAGTAAAATCCAGCTCCCTCTCTCTGGCCTTCAGGCCCCATGACCCAACTCCTTACTACCTGTCTAAACTCACCTCTGCCTCTTACACCCTTGTTCTCTGCTCTGGCCACCTGACTCTTCCTTGGACACATCAGGCATACTCAGGCCTTTGCACTTGCTATTCCTCTCATCAGTTGTGCCCTCTTACCAGGTAGCTTTCAGGTCATCTTCAAATGCCACTTCCTCAGGGTGGTCTTCTGTTCCAATCTATTTAAAATTTCAACCACTTACCTCTCCCCTGCACGCTCTCCTTCCTTGCTTTGTTATTTCTTAGCACTTATTACAAACACAGACTATATTACTTTGAGTCATATAAAACTGTCAATATTTGACCTTATTTTTAACCTGAATAAATGGTCAGTTTATATGGCTCAACTTACTATTTTACTTTATTATTTTGATTGTTAATCTCGACTTTTAAGTTCCACGAGGGCAGGGATTTTTGTTACAAAGCTAGTGCTCAGGATTGAGTTTCACATAAGAGCTGAGCCAGAAAATGATCTGATTGTCCTCTGCAGCTTTAAAAAGGCAGTTCCTGCCTGGCTACCATAGCTCAGTGGTTGAGCATCGACCTACAGAGCAGGTCACAGTTCGATTCCCAGTCAGGGCAGATTGTGGGCTCAAACCCCAGTGTGGGGCATGTAGGAGGCAGAAGATCAGTGATTCTCTCATCAATGTTTCTGTCTTCCTCTCTGAAATCAATAAAAGTATATTTTAAAAAAAGGCAGTTCCTAAAGTTATGCCAGCCCATAATGGTGTTTGGGGTCTTTATGTATCTTTTCAGGGTATATTTGTTTTGTGGAAAGCAATAAGAGAAAATAGGACTAAGATAGTGGGCATTTGATTTTCTTTTGACTGGCACCTCTCCCAGGAAGAGGGCCCAGATGGGAGGAGAAGGAAAAGCAGACACAATGATATTGGCCAGTAACTAAAGTAAATTGCTACTCCTGAAAGTAACTAAGAGGGCTGGTCATCTCTGTCATGGCTAGACTTGATAGGATGCAACCAGAGTCATACCACTTTCCACAACCTTAAAAACTATCATAATCCTTGGGTCTTCTATCTTCTCTCTTGCTAGCCACCTCCCAGTTCACTATACCAAGAAGATGCCAGCATCTGTTCACTGTAGGGGTCACCCGGGGAATGACTCATCCTTATTTGGGGCAAAAAAATAAAAAGGAATTGATGATTAGTCACTTGGACTCCCCTACAGATGCCACCACACGCTGGAGATAGAACCCTGACAACTTCAGAGGCCCACCTTATGGTAGCCTTCTCATGATCAGCTGGGCACCAGCTATTACAATGCAATGTTTATCTTGCCCCTCTGCCATTTTAGTAATATTTCCCCCTACCTGGAATGAGCTTTTGGAGTCAATCCTAGATTCCCATCTTGCTGCACAGGAATTTTCAGAGCCTCTATGGGCAACTTAAACATGTGGTTTGGGTTTAACTCAAATAATTAGATTCCATGAGCGAGCTGTATCTCATCACTACATTTCCAGAGCCAAAAAACATAGAAGGTGCTGAAAAAAAAAAATGAATGAAACTCACCAGGAAAAGTAAAGTCATGGTCTTTCTGCTTTCTGATCAACATTCGGCACTATGATTAGACCAGCCACAAAATTATAGGTCTTAGGTAATTTTTTTGCTACTGCCCTAGATTTAAACAATCTGATATCAAATCCCTTAGGTGGGGAAAAAAAATCTCCCTAATCTAGCCAAGCCCCCAATTTTGGAAAGATGAAGCATTGCTAAATGCATTAAGTAATATTTTGGTTGGTCTGAAGATGCCCACCTCAATCTTTAAGAACATGGGATGCTAAGAATGTGGGACCCAAGTCTGAACCACAGCTCCTAAGTTTGTGAAAAAGTGGGCCAAGGCTCCATGGCTATTTTTCTCATCTTTCCCTCCTGATCAGTCACAGTTTTACAACCTGTTGGCCAAGGGGAGGGACTCAAAGTTTGCTTGTTTTTTTTTATGGATACAGAAGAAGGCCATTGTTCCTGTTCTGCAAAATGTAAAAACTAAAGAAAGGCTGGCTCCTTTGTACAGAATAACAAGCAGCTCTTTGGACATCACAC